GCAGAGGCCAGCAAGGCGGATAGCTTCATGGCTGCCTCCATCCCACCGGTGGTCGCCAAGGATGGTCTGACACTGGTGCTGGACGCGGTCGTCGGTGACACTCTCAGGCAGGTCACCTGTCCTTCTGGTGAGGCTGTCTGGCTTCGTGCCTTGTTTTCCAGGCCGATACTTGACTTTAAAGTCGAATTCCTCTAAGAACTCGGCCCAGCGGGCTTGTCGGCGGTTAAGGTGGCGTTTAGAGCGGAAGTATTCGAGGCCTCGATGGTCAGTAAGTACTTCTACTGTGTCGGCGGCGCCTGCGAGCTCCGGGCGCCATTCCTCGAAGGCGCGGACTATTGCCAGCAGTTCCTTGTCGTAGATCTCATAGTTGCACTCCGTAGGAGTCATCTTTTTGGAGAGGTACGCGACAGGGCGTATAGTGTCGTCGCTTTGAATTTGGGAGAGCACTGCAGCGTAGACGTAGTCAGAGGCGTCGGTTTCCAGGATGCATTTGAGGTCTGGGTTAAAATGGGCGAGGACCACCTCGCTACAGAATGCCTGCTTGAGCAGGTCAAAGGCTCGCGAAGCTTCGGGGGTCATTTGAAACAGCTTTGGATCTCCGCGGGTGAGATGGGTGAGAGGTTTGGCGATATCAGAGAAGCCATATATAAAACGGCGATAGAAATTGGCAAAGCCAAGGAAGGCTTGGACATCCTTGAGGGACTTGGGTAGAAGCCAGTCCTGTATAGCACTGACCTTTTCTGGGTCCATCTTTATACCGTTCGGTGTGATAATAAGCCCAAGAAACTTGACTTCTTCTTGGAAGAATTCAGATTTCAGGATGTCCATGGGGAGCCCAGCGTTGGACAGGCGTGTGACCACTCGGAGTAGATGGTCATCATGCTCTTCCCTTGTTTCGCTGAATATGATGACGTCGTCTAGGTAGGCCATGCAAAATTCGTCCAGGTACTCATGGAGGACGTCGTTGATGTAGGCTTGAAATGTTCCAGGGCTGTTGCACATTCCAAAGGGCATTACGGTGTACTGGTACAGGCCGTATGGCGTAATGAACGCTGAGAGGTGTTTATGCTCTTCTTTAATCCGGATTTTATTGAAGGCGGCGATAACGTCTACCTTAGAGAAGAATTTGGCCTTGGATAGCTTGGTGAGCATGTCGCGTATCAACGGAGGGGTGTTACGGTTCTTGATGGTATGGGCATTAAGTCCTCGATAGTCCACGCAAATTCGGATACCTCCTCCAGGTTTCTTGACTACTAGGAGGGGGGCAGCCCATTCAGAGGTGCTACGTTCAATGTGGCCTTTCCGGATCATATCGTCAATGTAGAGCTTCACAGCTCGGGCTTCGTCGCGGGATAGCGGCCTTAGCCGCTGTGATGAAGGGCGAGGCGGTTTTCCGGTTTCGGGGTCTAACTGGATTTCAATAGCGTGGTCCAGCTTGTCTCGCTGCGGAGGGATCTCATCGGCCTCTCGTGGGTCGAAGCCATGGTAGAGGGGATGGAGGACCTCTGGCAGCTTAGCCAGGATTTCCTCTTTACTCATGTGGGGGCGCTCCATTCGATCGCGAAACTTTTCAAAGTCTTCAGGGAGGACTTTGGCTCCTGCCGCACGCAGCAGTTGGGTATCCGTCCATTCTTGGTCGGTCATATTGCAAAGTCTTTCAACCTCTTCCATAGAGGTTAGGCAGACCTGTTCTCCTCTTGTCACTGAAATGGCGGCCACCCGGCTTGAGATAAAAGCGATGTCGATAGGCGGGGGATGTTGAGGAGCCTTAGGATGGCGAGCTTTTTTAAGCTCATAGGCTGGGGGCGCTGGGTGTTTGCGGTGTCGGCTACTAGCAGCCATGCATGGCTTGTGGTTTTCTAGGCAGTTGCGAATGCAATGGTCTGAGTTGAATACTATTGACATAGTGTCCCAGTTTACCTGGGGGTTGTGGATTTGAAACCAGGGAGTGCCAAGGATCATTTGCACTCCGCTAACTTTGGTCACATAGGCAAGGACTTGTTCATGGTGGGTGTCGAAAGTTACGTGTACCCGTGTCATATGGGTAACGTTGGCAACTTGGGTGCCGTCTGCGAGCTCCAGGACAGCTGGGTCTTGGAGCGGAATTAATTCGTATTTGTGTGCGCGAGCATGAGATTCATCAATGAAGAGAGAAGCACAACCAGAGTCACCCATGAGTTCTACGTGTGAGGATGGTTGTTGAGAGGGAGATATCATCCCTTTGAATACTAATTGCTGACCTACCATAGGGAGATAAGTATTGCCACGAATAGCGGCGGCTGCGATGGCGGAGACGCGAACCCGTGGGGCAGCAGGGCGTTCCAGGTTCTTGATCCGGTCCAGGATTGCTTGCAGTGTGGGGTCAGGTTCAGTGTCGTTGTCGTCGCAGTCTTCGGCAGTAGGAGAAGGGGGCGTTGTAGGTTCAGGTGTATTCAAGGGTTCTTTATTGAGTTTCTCAGGCTCTTGGGGTCCCTGGGGGCGACTTTCGCCAGGGACTACTCGTTTTCCGAGCGGGCGTCAGAGGCGGCCGCTGGAGGAGTAGGGGCTCGGACGGCGTTAATGCGTACGGCGGCCTTAGGGATAGGGACGCCGGCGGCCTTGCGGGCTTCGTTCAAGGCGGTGAGGACTTCGGGGTAGCGGCCCATTGAAGTGAGCTTGTCCATGTCCTTGCAGGGCGCGTCGTCGGAGTTAGACTTGTGGCCTGCACGGGTGCACTTGAAGCAGCGTTCCAATTCAGCTAGGACCTGGGTCTCCATGACAGTGCGCTCCCTGTAGGGTTTGTTGATAATAAATTGGTTGGCTCCGCTGCCTTTGGGCTGCGCGTTGTCGGCGTTGCGATTGCGGTTGCGGTTATTGCCGCCGCCGCCACGACCGCTACCTCCACTATTACCCTTGCTAGGGTTGTGAGAGGGCTGGAGGGCGGAGTGAAGTTGTTCGAGGTGTCGGAGCTTGTGGCTGAACTTGGCAAAGTCCTTGGTGAAGGTGTCGTCGCTCATGAGGTGCTCCGCTCGGCTGCGCCACTGGTCTGGCAACTTCTTGTAGGCTTGCAGAGTCTTTTCCTCGTCGTCCCATTTCAAGGGAGCGACGCCGGCTTTGAAGCGGGCCAGGTAGGAGGTGATAGTCTCACCAGGCTTCATGAAGCCTTCCTTTTCGTAGAAGTTGTGGGCATCTAGGCGGGTATTCAAACGGCCGTAGCAGGCGTCGAGGATATCCCACGCTTCTTGTGCAGTATGGAACTCGTCTCCTTCGACAAACCATCCGCTCGAGATATTATCCCAGGCTACGCCGGTGGTTTTCATGCGGATGTAGTCTAGTTGCTCCTCCTCGTTGTTGGCGAAAGGGTACGGATGGGCACGGAACCAGCTCTGCATGTCGAGTTTCCATTTCTGGTAGGTAGAGGCCTTTGTGCCTGTAGGGCCCTCAAAGACCGCGGGTTCAGGTTGTTTAGATCGTCGCTGCGTTGTGGCGGGCAGCGGAGCGTCAGGGCTAAGTTTGGTAGCTGAGCGGTGGCGGCGTACGCTAACGGGTCCATCTGATTCGTCAGAGATGGAGTCATGCGGTTTGCCGCGTAGAGATGGGCGCGCGGTGCTAGCATAGGCTTTAAGCTTTTCTTTGGTTTCGCCGTGCGCGGTAGACTCTTGGTTAAGGGCGGTCTTGTACTCCTCCTTGCGCTGGAGGTAGCGTTCGGCTCGTCGCTCAGCGGTGTCGAGTTTCGACTGGAGGTCTTGGTTGGCTACGTGGAGGCTGCCTCTCACCTCTTGAAGCTGGTTTGTAAGGAACTTTACCTGCTTTTCGGAGTTGAGTTTGGCGACGCGCTCGTCGATGAGGTCTTCCTGAGCGTCCGTCAGGCGCTCTTGAAGATTGGCGAGGTCGTTATGTAGGGTGTGGACGGTGTCAAAGCAGAACTGGTAGAGTTTCTCTCCAGCTTCCGTGGTTGAGCCTTTAACAAAAGCTTCGTCAAGTTCTCCTACTAGCCTGGGCTCGCCGTTGGCGTCGTACTCATAGGCGGCTAGAGTTGGCTGACTGCCTTGAGGCAAGTCAGTTTTGGGGATTACGTAGCCAATGACTTTGCGGACGGGCTTTGAGGTAGTCCCCTCTGTGCGTGGCGTAGGCGAGGGTAGCGGGTCCCATGTAGGCGGAGAGAGGGCGTAGCTAGTATGGTTGCCGTCTTCTGTTTGGTACGTAAAGGGGTTATCAGTGCGCTGGGCGTCCGACCGCTGTCGGAGAGCGGGGTACTGAAAGCCTGCGCGGCCGCGGGTTGTAGTGACGTTAGGCGGGGACGGTTGAAAGGAGTCGCTAGAGTCTTGAGCGTCTACGACAGGTGATAACGGGCGCGATGGTACTAGATGGTGGATTTGGGTAATGTCGGCCTCGTCGTTATCTGAGTCGGCGTCATAGCCCTGCTGCTCTAGCTGCTCGTTTCCGAAGGCGCCAGGTACAGCTGGGTTGCTGATTTGGCGTAAGTTGGCGGACCCGGTAGCGCGTGGCAAGGCGCTGCTGCGGGCGGTGGAAGCCACGGTAGGTCTAGCGAAAGACCTCGCGCTCTTACCGGGGCTGATCGTTGCACCGGCGGTAGGGTTGGCGTCGCTGCCCGAGGCGTCTCCCACATGGGGCGCGTCGGCGGCATTGCCGTCTGGGAACTGGGTGGACATGGCGTTGGTCTACCGTGTCGCGGGAACTGTGGGGATCTGCAACTAGCCGCACGCGCTGGGTTGCTATTAGAGCGCTGTTAGAGCGCTGTCAGAGCGCAGTTAAGGCGCTGTCAGGTTAGGAGCAACTGGCCAAGGACGCCAGGTTGCTGTCAGAGGCGTTTAATGGACTGCAAAAACGTGTTAGGGTCTCACAGGATCAGATATTTAAAACTGTGTTGAATTACAAAGTTTTTGCAGTACCGAGTTTCTAAGAAACTTCGGTAGAATTAAATACATGTGTGGGGCAGCGGGGCCTCGGCACCCGAGGCGCCGGCGTGGTCCGTGCTCAGAACACCAAGGTTCCAAACCATGACACTCGGTACTGCAAAAACTTTGTAATTCAACACAGTTTTAAATATCTGATCCTGTGAGACCCTAACAGCTACAACTATTTAGTGAGCGTATAAAAAGTTCCTTAAAAAAGTTATGTAATACTAGCTTATATAAGCATTACGTAGGCAAAATTAGAACTAGGGTATCTTACTTATTTATTTTTTAAATTAAAGTTTAAAAAAAAGGACGCTAAAAAAAGACGCTAGAATTACGTTAGCTTCTTCTAGTCTTATTCTATATATTATTCTCTTTCTAATCTCAATTTTTCTCTTCTATATTACCTCTCTATGTCTATTAAACTTTCGAAGTTTGAAAAAGAAGTTTATACTCTATCTTTACAACTGTCAGATATTCACTCTCATCTGGAATACTGATGAAATAGGTAATGAATGGTGATGATGTTGATTCTTGATTGTGTGTTTGTTCTGTCTACGGTTGTGGGCAGCAATCCATAGGCTTAACAACCTATCGGACAACCCGGGACAACAGTGGCTACTAAGATGCATCAGAGCTGCAAAGAGAATAACGACAAAGAAAGCATCTATCCACCTGCAGTGGGCCCCAGGACACAACGACGTCAAGGGCAATGAAAAAGCCGACACGCTAGCAAAGGAAGCAGCTAAAGAGAGACCAACAACATCGACCATAGCGAGCCTAGCCTACTTAGGCACAGAAATCAACAAAATACAAAAAACAGAACAACTGATGGAGTACAAGAGGTATACCGACAGGCCCACCAAAAACAGAAGCTCCTACTTAAGGATCTTCAAGCTCAACACACATACAACAATCAAAGTCCCGAAGGGAACACCAAGAGAAATCTCGAGCGCGTTCTACTCACTCAAGCTAGGACATGGATACTTCAACTCCTACTTTAAGAGATTCAACAAGAGAGACTGCAATCTATGTATATGCTACAAACCACAAACACCACAGCATCTACTTCTAGATTGTGTGAACGGTCTGTAGGGACTGTATTCCAGCTACCTAGTCCAGATGCTATTTACAGTCAAGATGAAGAAAGAAGGTAAGACGCAAGCGGCGAGCCTGCTTTGTTTGGGTTGGCGCACGGCCCTCACGTTGCCGGGGAAGCGACTAGGCTAGCAGCCTAGTCATGTGACTCGAGGCTCAGCCCGTTACAGGACTTGTATAATAGTAGAAAGAAAATTATTTATTGATTACCTTCCGCGACTCGGCATACTTTACCATTGGCCAGAAAGCTTGTATCATGACTTGGCGTCTACGTCAGCTTTGTGAGGCTATGCAGAATTCTGTGTATCTTACATGAATCTCCGGAATACTTGCCGTGGATTGGCACTGCAGTAAATGTGCATGTTACCCCCGGTCTTGTGCAAGTAGCACGACTTATACAGAGGGGTAAGCATTCTGGATGGAAATAAAGGACATGATGTTCATATGTTCGATGAGAACCCTGGTGACAACGGAGATTTGCCAGAAACCGGTAACGATGCGAGACTTCCGGAACTCGCTAGCGACAATTTCGCCCAGTATATAGTTATTGGCAAACGAGTGAGACTGAATGGAAGAATATTGGAGAAATGAATTGAGGATTTTGATCTGAAGGATATCACACTTTGCCAAGACCATGGTTCGCTGGTTGAGGCCCGCATGACTGGTGGCGCATTCACTTGTTGCGCGCGACGAGCAACTTGTAGTTACACACAGGCTTAGGGATACTCGCGGGATTGTGTGTATGCGTAAAATTACTAAACATTAGTAATGATCCACTCCATGTGTCGGCATTGCTAGCCGTGAACGCCTCTAGATCTGTCCCGCTCAAGGTACACTACCTTACCCACCCTGCACACGCCACTCGAACTCATGCCACATTTGGAAGGTATTTGTAAGATGTCTTCCCCTTGCTCAATACCATGTTTACACCCGCCACAAAGCCCGTTTCGTCATCCACTCCTGTACCCACGCCCAATGTATATGAACAGCTCGCGGTCGCAAGCCCTATGCCCTGGAACGGCACGGCTGCAGCCTTCCGAAGCCTGACTCGCCAAGTGTTTAGTACCGCCACCCGCGACGGCGCTGAAAACGGCAAATGATATGTTCAACTCCTGAGAACACATCCAGGAATAACCTTGAAGGTATCGCGTAGTGAAAAGCCCGATGAAAAGTGTACCTGGTGCGACTAAAGAGTCCCACGTGGTTCAACAAGCGTCAACGAAGTCTGAGGTGGCTTGACAGAACTTTGGGCGATGTTGGCATGACCGGACTTGACTCCGATGCCGATTAACTACAGAAATCTGCCATGTCTGATGTACGTACCGTTGCCCTGAAAAGTGTATAGTAAAAGGAGAGAAATGTATAAAGCGTGGCGAAGAACGAGGATTTGTCGATCGCGCAACAGTGTGGGGCGATATCGCGCGGGTCATCCCTGTACTTAAATTTGGCATATGTGCTGAGAAAGGCATTTGTAGCGACCCGGTCTGATCTGTGATCGCGCAAACATATGGCCTGTTGTCACGGTCGGCATCGCAAAGTCAAGATTCATGGCGTGCCTATCTCCGTCTCGAGAGCATGTTGGTTCCTTTTCCTTCCTAGGCAGCATTCAGCCACGCAGCCACATATGGGGGATTGAGCGGCTTGCAGCACGTTGCTGAGAGCCTGCCCCGAGTCATAATCCGATCCCGGCAAATGGGCCAGAGAGGGTTCTGGAGAGAATCCAGCAATCTGGCTTCTGGAACCGAGATGGAGCGAAGGATTCAATGTGGGCATCTCATTGTCTACAGTATATAGGTAAGCTGGGCTACCCTGGCCAGGTATCAGATACGTACCGTACCGTCTTACTAGCTAGGAGACAATTACGATCCAGAAGCATGCGTTTCTCCAGGCCACCCCCATACGCATAGACCTCTGCGCAACACCATTAATGTTTCGTTGACTGCGCATTGCCGTAGTATTGCCGTGACGCTGTGCAAGGTCAAGCCGATTCGGGATGCTTGCTGCCAGCCAGGCTTATGGCACCTACTGTTTGTATATAAGATGCCTGTTTGTCTCAAGCATGACGCGGAGACGGTAGTCTGATGGAGAGGTGTCCATAATTTTAAGTTTCTTGGTGTTGAGATCGTCGCAGGGTAAATGGAAGGTGCTCAACGCTAGTCATAGGGGGCCCACTCGTGGTTGCAGACACAGTCCGCTCTCGACTGACCTTCCCTTGAGAACCTGTCGATGTAGTAATCACCGCTGCGATTCGGCGAACATGTACCATGGATGGGCACGCATTCACGTGTTGACCGTCTCCACGTCACGTTCAGACGCCGGAACGATCGAGCCGGGTGGCTGGTGTGTACCTCCGAAAGCTTCGATATTTAGTTCCCGTGCGCTACTTGGGCGAGAATCCTGAGAGATCACTGGGTAACCAAGTAAGGAACATTATTCATGTCCATTTAGTCGAACCTTTTGATAGACGGACTCGGTGCGGAGATTTGGCATCCGGCGAGCTAACATTGCGGTTCTCCTCTGCTACACAGGACGCGGTTTCGGAGATACGCCCAAGGTGGGAATCATCACTAAGTGGCCTTTCCATCCAAGCGCACATGGCTATACTCGTGTCAAGCGGTCGCGCAAGAGCTATTTTGTATTGTCCCGTTCCATAGTGCGGCCAGGGCGTGTCCGTGGACCCTGCTGATGTGCCGTGATTGTCCTTGCTGTGCAGGGCCGTGTACCACTACGCGAGTTCGCAGCCTATGTGACGCCAGCACCTTAACGAAAGCCAAGAATCAATCGGTTGCTTCAGACAGTAGAAGAGCTAACGGCATGCCCCACTAGGGACCATATCATCGAGGTCTTCACCCTAGGGATGGGCCATCTCCTCGATCCCCCAGAAGCTGATCCCATTTGTCTATTCGCTGTTAGTTCGACTGCCGCGACCGCATGTCTTACGAGCTTATTGCGGCCATCAAAAACTCAGAATGCAGCTCCCACCGCTGGACGTGATTCTATCATGGCCGACACCAAACTATGTTGATCCCGAGACGCGTGGCCCAGCACTCATCATTGTCAACGCAATCTTCATGACACTAGCCACACTAACAGTGTGTGCGCGTTTGTATACACGCTTGGTTGTCAAGAGATGGTTCGGCATAGACGATGTGTTCATTCTGCTCGCTCTGGTAAGTCTTTGAACCCTATTGATATTGCATTGTCTAACGTATACAGCTTTTTACAGTAGGTCTGACTGCAGTTGTTCTCCTGGCAAACGAGAGATATGGATGGGACAGGTAAGCTATGAACTGGCATAAATTCAATGTAGATTAGACACTGACTTTGTGCTGTTTAGGCATGAATGGGATGTCCCTGTTACCCAAATAGTTCCTACATACAAAATCGCCATGGCAGCCAAGGTCGTATTCACTGCGGCTGCGACATTCACAAGATTGTCTCTTCACTGTTTCTACTATCGACTGGTAGCGGATTCGGGACTGACGTAAGTAGCCCTACGTGTACCTCATCCGTATCGCACAAATACTAATCCAAACCTTACACTAGGTGGTTCAAGTGGCTGGTTCACGTTAATGTCGCATATACCGTTTCCTCTTTCATCGCGTTAACTGTCATGGCGATATTTTTCTGCACTCCCGTGGAAAACTACTGGACCATCGACGCGCCAGCGGACTCATGCATGGACGAGGCTGTTTTGACAATGATATGCGGAGTCATCAACTCCGTTGCGGATCTCCTCACTACATTAACGCCAATGCCTTTGGTATTCAGAGTAAGTCTGCTAAAAACCGTCATCATCACTGGCAATCTAATACTTCTTAGCTACAAATGCCTCTTAATCAGCGGCTCGCTGTAGCTATGCTGTTTGGTATGGGCTTTATCGTCACCGCTGCTGGTATTGTTCGAACTTGGTTTATCTATCGGAGTCTCTTCAACGAATGGGACCAGACTTGGTTCACATATCCCTTGTGGATTTCAGCTGCCGTGGAGATAGACCTAGGGGTAGTGAGTAGATCCGCTCCAAATACATACGGCACTAACCAGCAGTAGATATGCGCCTCGACCCCTGTACTAAAGCCACTGTTTGCGAAGATACCCTTCAGTCTGTCCGGATCACTCCAAAGCGGCATATCCGTCAAAAGATCAGCCGGCAACACCACGCAAACGTTGACGCCGAGCGCATCAACAGCGTATCTATCGCGACGGAAGTCCGAACCTCCCCTAGGCGCACCAGAGCTCGCAAGTGACAATGGTCAAAGTTATGAGATGAAGCACTGGGCGGATGCGGAAGCAGGATTGATGCGGGACGATTCGGAACGGGGGAGCGAGGGCGGAATCCTGGATGAGGAGCCACAGCCCAAGAAGAAAACCAACCGACTGTTCGACAAATTTCGCGCGAAGAGTATATCGGAACATGTCGATTGCGACATGACGATTACGATGACAAGCGAGGTGGAATGGCAAAGTGAACCTTCGCCAAGATGTTTGTCACTACACGAAATGCATGGGGGGTTCCACGAGAACCACATGCCATTGCCGCCCTTGGCCGCGAGACTTAATGGGTACGAAAGGTAGCCCTTCCGATTGATGATTGCGAAGAACGATACCGAGAAGTCCATGCCTTATAATGCACGGCGTATACGACTGGCTTCGTATATGGCGCTTCTATTCGGCTGGCATTTTGTTTATTGGCGATTGATACCACGTTCGAATACCCTGGGAATACCAATAGAATAGATTCCAAATTTGAGACTAGGGCTCATTTAATGATTGAAATCCCATGACCAGAATCTTTCTGTCATCAAGCTCCTGTTTCATGGAGCGAAGTACGCGTTTTAGCGTGAAGGACCGTGCCATTGATTGACACCGATGATGGACCCGCATCTTTAGGTACAGCCGTGGATAGTGGAGAAAACACGAGCACTGTCATATTCGCGCAAACACTTCGTTAAGTACATGTTTAATAGTGGTGTCTCTATTGCAGGAGGCTAGCTATTCTGACAGCGGGGTGACGGTAGGCACGTGGTGGATGCTCTTTTTGGAGAGCCTTCCGCTCCCATCCTGCTACCCCGCATACTCTATCTACCTTCCACTTCAGGTGCCAAACAACGTCAATATATTCACTTCGGCAAAACTGCAAAAGAAAGCTCTCGGTCATCCTGCAAGGTACCAGGCATGCGTGGCGTTCTCGTGGTAACTTCCATCTTGCTTAATGCATTCGCTATCATGCCAGCAGCAAATGTCAAGTTCTGTTGAGATGTTTCCTTTCCAAGACCGACTGGCTAATACCTATCCTTGCAATATACACCATTCTCGTATTGCATCATGATAAGCTGAACTAATTAGATACTCCTACGCGACGGGTACACGATGTCAGGAGGTCAGATTCTTGCGGAAATGGAGGGTCCGCCACCTACATGTCGCCATCAATCGCCATCAATCGCCTTCCTCATTCGGACGTACCTAGATCATCGGAGAAGTGGTGGAATTCACTCCGACAAACGCTGCTACAAGCCTCCAGCAGCCTAATCTTGACTATGGCAAAAGGTCCTCGGCAAAGCTTATTTCTTCCGGCACTACGCCAGAATCACCCCAGCATCCCCGCAATCAACCCATTGATTCTTCGCCACGCCCCATTATAGACCAGCTAGACTTGTGCACGTGTGACATTTTTGAAGCACGGTAGTCAATGCTTCGCTGTCGTTGGAGGAGTATCTTCGTACCTTGATTACCATATGCCCCATTCAACCTAGTCTACGGACGGACCACTGAGGAAATCATACGAGCGCATGGAGAACCATATCAGACTAACGCCTTTAAATACCTGAGACGTTGGAGCATAGTTGAAGATCAAGTCGATCACGGCCCGGTACCATCTCCCCGCGCTAATCGTAACCAAATATGTCTTCAAGATCAGCCCTCCTCGCACTAGGAGTGGTAGCCACGAGCTCTTTCGTTTCTGCTGGACCCTGCGACATTTACGCCTCTGGAAACACACCGTGCATCGCTGCACACAGCACTACTCGTGCCTTGTACAATGCATACAGCGGCTCGCTTTACCAGGTCAAACGTGGCTCTGACGGTGCCACGACAGACATCAAGCCACGATCTGCCGGGGGCGTTGCCAACGCTGCCGCTCAAGATACTTTCTGTGCAAGCACGACATGTCTCATCTCCATCATTTACGATCAGTCTGGCAAAGGAAACCATCTCACTCAAGCTCCCCCTGGAGCTTTCAAGGGCCCAGATGTTGGCGGCTACGATAACTTGGCCGGAGCTATCGGTGCGCCTGTCACTCTCAATGGGCAAAAGGCATATGGAGTTTTCGTCTCTCCTGGAACTGGATACCGCAACAACAAAGTAGTCGGCTCGGCTATAGGCGATCAATCAGAGGGCATGTATGCAGTGTTTGACGGAACACACTTTAACGATGGCTGCTGTTTCGACTATGGAAATGCCGAGACGAGTAACACCGACACCGGGTAAGTAGGCCAAACTATGTTTGTATTGAAGCTTTTACTAATAAATCTCTCCGTAATAGAAATGGCCATATGGAAGCGATTTACTTTGGCAGCAACACCATTTGGGGCTCAGGGGCTGGCAGCGGGCCATGGATCATGGCTGATTTGGAGAACGGACTGTTCTCCGGCAGCAACCCCAAAAATAACCCCGGTGACCCAACCGTCACTTCCCGCTTCCTTACTACCGTCATCAAGGGAGGTGCTAACAAATGGGCCATCCGCGGGGGTAACGCTGCATCAGGCGCGTTGTCGACTTACTACAACGGTGCTCGGCCAAACGCCAGCGGTTACAACCCCATGAGCAAAGAAGGTGCCATCATCCTGGGAATTGGCGGCGACAACAGCATCAGCGGACAAGGCACCTTTTACGAGGGTGTCATGACGTCTGGCTACCCAACCGACGCCACCGAGAACGCGGTGCAGCAGAACATCGTGGCTGCCAAATATGCCACTACTTCCATGACTAGCGGTCCGGCTTTCACCATTGGCTCGTCTGTTTCTTTCCGCGCCACAACGTCTGGTTACACTGACCGCTATCTTGCACACACAGGGGCTACCGTCAACACTCAAGTCGTGTCTTCTTCCAGCACCGCTTTGCTCAAGCGCCAGGCGAGTTGGACTGTCCGTGCCGGTCTCGCGAACAGCGCTTGCTTCTCCTTCGAATCAAAAGACACTGCTGGAAGCTACATTCGCCACTACAACTTTATACTTCAGCTCCAAGCCAACGACGGGTCCAAGGCGTTCAAGGAAGACGCTACGTTCTGCCCCCAGGCTGGCCTAACCGGACAATTCAACACAATTGCCGCGTGGGGTTACCCCACCAGAATGATTCGCCATTTCAACAATGTTGGATACATTGCGAGTAATGGTGGTGTTCACGATTTTGACAAGGCGGCTTCGTTTAACGCTGATGTTACGTGGAATGTTGGTAGCAGTCTTGCTTAGGTATGAATGTTTCAGTTGGGATTCTTGTTCATATAGACATCACAAAGCAATACCATGTTATTATCAAGACAAGATACAATTCTCAAAAACAAATAAGCTCTATCACCTAACTAACTCACTAAAATGCAAAATTCGTGCTATACCCCCAATACACATTGTAGAGTATGCACATAACCTCCATCCAACTGCAAAACTCGACATCAAAGCAGCTCTGCATCTCTGGTCACTTGTCAGACCCACCACCTCCCGAGTCAACGACTACCACACGTAAGCCCGGCTCGAAGATGTCGGAAGCGGCGGGAAATCCGCCATATCAGCTATATCGAACCCAAGCGAATCTGCCGAAGTGTCACTACTACGAGAATAGTGACGTGAGTAACCTAACCCGTAAAGAATAAACAGCACCGTGTAATCCTGCTGATACCGCTGCGAGTCCAGCCATCGCAGTATATAACCGCGGTGGATGTAGCACATTTGGTTTGGTAGAGAGGTGATGAGGTCGTATGCTTGGGTGATCTCGCGGATGATGCTGCGGTTGTAGATGTATGTGAGTGGGCATGCGGGGGAGCAGTGTTGGAGGAATTGCGTGCGGAGTTCTTGTGTGGTGGGGAGTAGGGGAGTGGACTTCATGGTTATTGGTGTTGTTGGTGTTGTGAGAATTTTGTTGATGGTGTGAGCAGGAAGTTTGAGGGGGGGTAGGATTAGGTGTTTTATCGTAGATGGGAAGGCGTTGTGGGTGGTTTGTTGGGAGTGTTCACTATGTCTTAGTATTTTAGTTTGGAGAAAGAGGTTCTGTGTATGGGACCGTGTATGAGACATGGGAGGATATTCACTATGGATATATGAACGGAGTAGGGGGTGTGAGAGGATCCAGAATGGCTAGTAGACTCTAGCTACTTTGGTTGTGTCTGAGGTAGTGAATGATGGAGAGACAAAACATAGGTACTTATTCGAGAGTCCTCTGATGGAAGGTGAAGGTAGAATATTGGTTGATTCAAGATGAAAGCCTTACTACTTCGACATGAGTTTAACTTGGGCGCAGAGGTAACGAGAAGCATTGATCCAAGTCGGGAGTACCTGTCAAAGACATGCAATATTTTTTTACTGGCCTTTACTACTCTACGGAAACTCACCTGAATTAAAAGTAATATTTGAAAACAAACATAGCACATTACCAGCGTATACCCGTCATGTGGAGCGGCAACGAGCCAACAACGCTCATATCGATAACCACCAAACTAACCACATGCGCAAAGCCGCAATTTCTCCCACATCTGTGCGCGCGTCGCAATGCCACCTTCAACGCGCATACCACCGCTATTGCAACCCTACGTCCAACTTCCACACGACGAGTCGCTCCTTCTACTCACGAGCACTCTTGGCGCTAGTGCAAACTGGCTGCTCATCCGCTTCCTGTGCAATGAATTGAGTAGCAACACACAAGATGGCGGGGAAGAGGGGCACAACGTCATCCTGGTTTCATGGATGAGGGAGTATGAATTTTGGAAGCAGGAGGCTAGGAAGAGTGCGGGACTGGATATGGAGAGGTTGAAGAAGGAGGGTCGGTTCGCGTTTGTGGATGGGTTGGGGGCTGGGGCCGACGCGACAGGAGATGAGTCGCGGAGTAATGCGCAAATACAACCACACGTCGCTGTATCGAATGGACCACAAGCGCAGAGAGGGCCGCAGGTATTGCCTGCAAGAGGACCGCCGGGAAGGATAATACCTGCGAGAGGGCCGCCTGTGCCAGCTTCAGCAGCGACACCAACACCCTCAACAGCGCCAAACAACGAGCCGACGAGTGCGAAAAAGACCACACCAGGTCACTACACACTCAAGACACTCGAAATCGCAGACGTCAAAACCACCATCTCCAGCGCCATATCCTCACTCACTACATCCACCACCCCACGCAAAACGCTCCTCATCTTCGACAACCCCGACCTCCTCCTCGCCCTCAACCCAACCATAACCCCCTCGAACTTCACCTCGCTCCTCCTCGAGCTACACACGCTCCCTACCATATCTCACATCCTAACGCACATGCAAGCCGACAACCCGCTCCTCAGCCTGTCTACACCACCGCAGCCGCTCGAGATAACGCATCACAACCTCGTCATCAAGTGTGCGCACATGAGCAGGAGGATCCTGGGCGTGCGCGTGCTAGATACAGGTGTTGCGAGGGATGTTAGCGGTGTCGTGCGTGTCACGGAGCAGAGGAGTCATTTCATCGGCGCACGGCCTGGCAAGAAAGACGGTGGTGATGATGGGAATGGGGGGGAGTTTTTGTATCAGGTTAAAGGTGATGGGAGTGTTAAAGTGTTTGAACGGGGGGCTGGGGGGGAGGCGTAGGGTATCTCGTCGAGTATCCGTGAATGCGAGTGACACCATGTGCTTGCGGCGTCGTCGTTTCCAAGTACTAGTTACGTAGTCGAACGAATAGACTATAGTATCTCCATCAGCATCATCATCATCATCATCATCATCAGCAAGACCCGTCCATCTATCACAACCTAACCGCCCACACAGCTCCCCATCTCCAAACTAAACCATACCCCAAATCTCCCTCTCTCCATCTGCGACATACCACCATGCGCCCCCCATCACAAGACACGAGTATCACGTCGCGCATGCGTCCCCATCCTGTCCTTGTCCTTGTCCTGCGCCCTGCGCCCTGTCCCTGTCGTTCTGCACAAAGTACCCCTTCCGGATCTAGCTGCTGATCTACAACACAGCATGAAGCTAGCACCCGGCAGCCGGCCGCCCCCACTTTGCCTTTGCCAGTACGCCGCAACTCTGCGTCGCCAAAGTCGGCGATGGATGTTGGATTTCGATACAAAAGTCCCGGTTGTGTGGTGAGACTTATATTGTGCGCATGAGATGTGGTAAGATCATGGTAGAGATGAGGGACGTTTAATGCCCGCTGCATTTAGTGTGGGTTTGGGGGTTGTGGTGCTGGTGCTGATGCTACGCCGCTTCCTCCGAGGCGCGTCCTGCGATGGATCATGGCTTCGTCACATGGTGATGGTGCAGTGTGAGTCTTGTCTCATGCGTGGGAGGATGGAGGACTGACAGGCCAGGTACGGTAGGCAGCAAGTGGGGACGCATGGGATATGTGGACCTCACCTGGACATACCGTAGGCGTAGATGGTGATGGTTAGGGATGAGATTATGATATCGCCGGTTTTAGACATTGTGGTGTTTCTTGAACAATGGTTTCCCTTCTCCTTCTCCCTTCTTCTCTTCCGTCCTCGCTGTTTCTTTCCTTCTGCTTTTGTTCCCGTACCTGCAACAAGGCGAAGTGGTTTTCGGTGGCTGCGGCACAGTTGAACGTCAACCCCGAACCTGGACGCCACAAAACACATTTCCGTCTTCCAAGTGGGTATGCGATGGGGGCTGTGGTGACCAAGGAGGAAGACAGGGTAAGCGCCGTTGCATTGTTGTTGAGGTTGAATGGGGGTCTATGGTTTGTGATGCAATGTGCTGGGTTGCCGGGGATGCGAGGAAGCGGCGTCGTACTGTTTCTTGTGTGTTACTGTATGTGAGATGTGAAATGTGATCGTGGAAACCAGGACTGGGGTTTGAGTGGCATGGTTTAGCTGAGGGGTCTGGGGTCTGGGTGGGTATAAGTAGTCTGTCCTTCTGACTTCTCCTCCCGGTTTTGATGTTGAGGACTGCTACAGTGTAACACTGGATATCGAGTCTGTATACACAAAATTTCGTGAACATACACAGATATTACACAATCAGATATGTCACCACACTTTCTCAGTCTCCCTACTGAACTCCTACATAACATTCTTACTCCCCTACCCCTTCACTCCCTCCTCTCCTTCTCACAAACCTGCCACCAAGCCCGCACCCTCGCAAACGCAAACCTTCACACCCTCTCCCTCTGCATCGCCCCTCCTTCTAGCCCTTCCTACCCATCACTCTCCCACCTAGACAAGACATATCCACCGTCGCAATCGCAGCCAGGATACGAAATCTGCCTCCACATCCCGCAGCAAGAAACCTACGACCACGCCACTCTCTTCAACTTCCAGAGCGCGCTTGTGACCAGTTTACTGCGGCGCCATGGCACGATGCTGCAGACGCTCGAACTGAGTGTTTGGGGATGGTCGGTGGGAATGGCACTGGCGCTGAGGAGCTTGCGGGCGCTGAGGACGTTCCGGGTGAGAGTCGAGCGTGTGACTGGTGTGGGTCGGAATGTGCCGAGGAAGTGGATTGCGGTGCAGAGGGCGGAGGAGAAGAAAGCCTGGGAGGTGTTGGTTAGTGGGCCTGAGGAAGAGCTTGAAGAGGTCGTTGTAGTTAGTAAGAGGAGGAGGAGACGTAAACGTGGGTTTTGGAGTGAGAGGTTGACGACGTTGGAGCTTGAGAATTGCGATGTTACTGCTGAGCAGCTTGGAGTCGTGTTGAGTAAGAGTCGGGGGTGTAGGGAGGTGAGGCTGGATGGGTGTCGGATTTTGGATAAGGAGCTTTGGACGGTGATGGGGGAGTGGGAGGGAAGGAGTGGGTTAGAGAGGTTGGACGTCGTGGATTGTGGGGGAAGGATTGGGGAGGAGGCGAGGACGGCGATTGGGTTGATGGACGGGTTGAAGGTATGTTTGCGTCCATCGTTTCTTCTCGTACTTTCTGTGTCGCCGAGGACAAACTAAGCTGAAATTGACTGCAGGATATCAATCTATACGACTGTCAGGAGCAGGACCCAGGTTCTATGCAGCAGTGTAACGACGAGCTATGGCACATACCCGACTTCGTCGCGCCGGCACCTGCTCGCGGGGTTGGACAAAACATGATCATCGAGGTGGACCCAGAGTACATGTAGACAAGGACAGCAAAGGGAAGACAGGAAGTTTTTGTAAATGTTCATTATTTCGTATCTCATCCGTTGCTGGGTATCGCGACGACGACCAAGATCAACGTCTCTCAGTCGTGTCTGTGTCTCTATATGAGAGACTACTCAATGCTACCAGTGTAGTAGCTATTCCTTTGCCGTTGGCAACCGTGTATTCATTCCATGCACCATGTCAAGTCCCAGTAGTGACGTTGCTTCCATGCTCAGATCCTTTCCGTCATCCAAATGTCAACCACTCTTACCACTCGCCACCATAGGGCTCGAAGTCGATGTCCTGCTTGTAGAAGGGAGCGCCATTGTATTGCCCTAGCAGAGAGGGATGCACGGCTCTAACGCGGGTGCTCTGGACAGCATACTTTGCGTCGGCACTAGCGTTGGCACGGAGATAGTCACTATACTCCAGTACACGTTCCATCTTGGCCTTCCACGCGAGCATCATCTCGAGGTCCTCGCGTGCCTCACGCTCCTCTGCGATCTGGCGCTCAACGATAGCACGCTCCTGACGCTCGTACTCAAGCTTCTCCTCAGCCTCGACGTCGAAGATGACGGCAGAGTGCTCTTGGTGGTGGCTGCCGGCGTGGAGCTGAGCAGTGCACTCGGGAGAGTTCTGCATGGTAGCCTGGTCTTTGGCATACTGCATGTTGAACGTGGTGGGGCTGGGGATGGTTTGGAGGCTGGCGAGGTACTTGTCTGGGTAGCACGTCTCTCCGTAGAACGTCTTGGGGGGCCCAAGGCAGACGCGGCTAGTAGAGCTCTCGCGACGAGTAGCGCTCTTGCTGCGGGTAGAGTTCTTGTTGCGAGTAGCGCTCTTGCGACGAGTAGAGCTCTTGCGGCTACGAGGAGAGACGACATTGGGTACACCAGCGTTGAGGGCCTGGCGCATGCTTATAATCCTAGCGACACGACGCTTACGGCGCTCTTCGATGGCAGCTTCTTGCTGCTCGTGGTCGAGCATGCGGCGGTACTTTGCCTCGAGGTACGCACCGACCATGATAGGGGCCCAGTCAAGGATGTAAGTGAGACCGGTGACGTTATCGAAGACTTCGGGGCAGTAGAGCTTGACTCCCATGATTTCGGCGTCGGCGCGGGTGATTTGGTCGTTGTCCATCTGCCAGACGAGCTCTTGACGGAGTGCCATGACCCTCGCCTCGCGAACCGCGTTGTCGAGCGCCTTACCACAGCTAGACTTGTTGAGCGAAGTCCAGTGGTTTGAGAGCTTCTCGTGAAACAGCACAATGTTGGGACCACCCTCGTAGACCTCGTCGGTGATGGTGTTGAAGCCACTGTGAAGGCGAAGGTTCAACAGCTGATGCATCTCTTGCATGCGTGCGTTGAGTGCATAGAACAGATCCTCATACTCGTAGAGCGGGCGTTCGGCAGCCTCACCTTCAACGCGCAGCTCGCTGCGTTCGTTGAGACGGTCGACGTGGATGAATCCAGATGGAAGTAGGCTGGGAGCCAGCTGCTTGTCATGCAGGCGGTTGAAGAGAGTCTCGAGGCTGGGGGTGTAGGGGTCGACGGTGTACTTTCCGAACAGGGTCTTCTTCTTGCTCAGCTCGATGTACCAGCTGCTGAGCTTGAGGATTTGCTCAGTCAGGTGGTAGGGCGAGCAGAAGGTGCCTGTAGCACGAGCATCCAGCTCAGCGACTGACGCAGAAAGCGCGGGTAAGAGAATGCACTCAGGCATCTCAGACATCTCAGACATCTTGGAAGATTGTGATGATGTTGGCAGTGAAGAAAGTGGGTAGAAGTTGGGCAGATTGGGGAATAATCAAGCTTGATTGAAATTGATTGAGAGTATTGTGGTGTAAGAAGGTTTGAAGGATATTGGAGCAAGAAGTATTTCCAGTGTGAGACGATTACTAGTGCCAAGCTTGAGATAACCTGATTTGGGGAGGTCGGGTTGTCACGAGGTGGTGAAAGTGAAAGAGGCTCACTTGGGGGCAAACCCAGATGTGGGGCGAACGAGGGTCCCGCCCGAAGCTGCTATTGTTACTGGACGATGGGGTGCCGTACAATTGGGGAGAATTTTCCAATTAGACAATCAATTAAAAGCTGTGAGACAGGCAATGCTCGTCAATTGTCGACTCGTGGCTGCAGAGATGACCGCGATGAGTAGTATCGTCAAGGGCGGCGATGGAGACATATCACGCAAAACAATCGTCACATTGAACTTTATGGGCATTTTCAGATACTTTTGAATGTATTTGCAGACGTTAGTCGTCTTGCTCAGATAAAGGTGCTGCCGATGGTGCTGCCTGGTGGATCAGGCAACTGGCATAGTCTTGATGGACCCTATCTCTCTCCTTCACTCACGCGCTAAGGCACCGCTCTAGCGCAATTTTTACAGGAAAATGCCGCACCAGCCCCCTCGTGTTCAAATGTCTCAGTTGTCGAGGCAGTTCATCTTGAATCCAGTCTCGTCCAAAGAAGGCGCCACCCGCAATCGCCCCAACAGTTGCCAGCCAAAGCATCGTCTTGCCAGCACCAGGCCGGAACTCTTCCCCAGTCTTCTCTTTCTTGTAAACAAAGTCGCTCTTTTTCCAGAAGATGCTTCTAAGCCAATACATGAATTGCCAATCTGGGTACATCACTAAAGTGGAGTCAGCGCACGGGCTCGCATCGATTAGGCAATTGTCACTCACTGTTGTTGAGGCCCGTCTTGGGATCCACAGCCCAGTTCACGCACCCTGAGGCCCAGACTAGTTTCTTGGCAGCTTGCTGCGTCCACTGCGAGTCGGCGATTGCGGCTTCGGACTTGACTTCCACGGTGGCTGGGGGCGGCGCAAGCATCTTTGGGATGAAAGACCGAGATCGGTAGGATGGGAGAGACTTGAAGATGGGCTCGAGGAGGCGAAGAGTGAAATTGATCTGGCACTCCACAGTGTAGATGACGCTCAAGTGACCAGTGACTGTGTTTGGTCCCATCAAGATGAAGAAGTTGGGAAAGTTTGGCACTACAGTGCCGAAGTAGGCTTGCGCGACACCCAACGAGGTTTTATCCCACTGTGTCATCGTGTCAGTTCAGATATGCAGAATTCTGGAGGTGTGGCTCACATGTTCGTGTAAGCTGATGCCATCCCGACCAACAATTTCCATCGGAAATAACATCTGCTGCGTTGCAAAGCCGGTCGCAAGTACGATTGCATCTGCGTTCACTTCACGGCCGCTCTTTGTCACAACTCCGCTCTCAGTAATTCTCTCGGCAGGGTCGTCGGCCACAAGCTCGATATTGTCCCTCCACAGAGTCTTCAGGTAGTCAGTGTCCAGCACTTTCCTCTTACATCCGATTTCAGTCTTCGGGATAATAGCATTCCAGTATTTCGGTGGTGCCATGCTCTTGACGTACGCCTCATTCTCTTTCGCCAGGTCTTGACGTATGTTGCGCCCAGTCTCGATATCAAAGCCACTCCAGTCACGCTCCATTTCATAATAGAACTTCGCACGGTAGAGTCGCATCGCCAATGGCACGTAACGCATCACAGCCTTGAAGGTGTTGGAATAATGCGGGTTTTCTCGCTCAGCTAGGTACTGGGCTTGTCTTCCAAACTGTGTAAGCTTGCGTACGGGATTCGGCTCGTTGGCCATGATAGGCACGAATTGGGTTGCCGAGCAGCCATTGCCTAGACATTATCAGCATGCTGTATTGATCTAGTGAAGGGTTCGAGGATGGGCAACATACCAAGTACAACGATGTCCTTGTCTGCCCAGTCAAAGCTATGATCCCATTGAGCGGAGTGAAACAGCTTGCCCTTGTATGTGTCCACACCAGGTAGGTCGCATGTCTTTGGCACTGAGAGCGAGCCAACACCGGATATCAGTACCTTGGCTCGTCGCACAATCCGTTCCTTAGTTTGTAGATTCAAGATAGACGCCTCCCAGACGTTGTCCACATCATTCCACACCGCCTTCTCGAGAATAGAACGGAAGCGGACGTGGTCAACGACACGATACTGTTCAGCGACGGAACGAAAGTATGCCTGGATTTCCGGACGCATAGAGTACTTGCGACTCCAGTCAGGGTTAAGAGCGAAGCTGTACGAGTAGAAGTGCGAAGCAACCTATCACATGTCAACCATATCTTCAACACATCATGCATGAGGACGTAACTCACATCACAGCCACAACCTGGATACGTGTTCGCCAGCCAAGTACCGCCTACATCTTCGCTCTTCTCAACAAGCTCAAAGTTCCGGATGCCGTAGTTTCGAATGATTTGGACTGCGAGACCCAGGCCGCTCATGCCCGCGCCTATGATTAGGACTTCCGTATCAAACGACATGTTGGGTTGGATTGAATTGATAGGTATAGGATACTATTCAAGATTCTCAAGAGAGATGGCAGAACTACGATTGAACCCCCAGCGATACTTATATCACACCCAAGCTCGCACCATCTCGGTTCAGTTCACTCCGCATCCCCGCTCATTCATGCTCTAGAGATACTAAACTTGGTCCAGTGGGTCTTGCACCGCAATCCCACATTATGATGTGTGGAGGTATGGGTGCCGTCTAACCTATTAGTGCATGTTCGCGCGACGACGTTGAGATGTGGCATCGACTGAGGCAGGTTTGCCGAGTTTACTAGACATCTAGTAGAAGGAAGCAGGCCGACAGCCAATTACAAGCGTAGGACATTGAGGGAGCCCCACGGTCGGTAGACGCGTGTATGTTGCTTCTTCTCCTCGCTCCCTCCTTACATCTCGGATCTTTCGCTTTTGGTATCCCGCAATATGCCTTGTGAAGGCGACGCGCTTGCGTGTGTGTAAAGGGCGTGGTGAGGATGACGTCATGGCTAGCGATCAGTGGCGTGCAGCTTCGCGACCAATCATCTAGACTCTGTCAATGAATGCAGTGCCATGGAATTATAGGCTTTGAGTCCGCGGTGATAATTGTATGCTTGAATCAAAAGAATACCTAGGTATGGTTGTGCCATCAAGTCTCGCGCGAGACATATCGCCGCCACCGCTATCGAAGCGAAGGAAAACTTCTGGAACTCACACCCGAAACACACTTTTGCAAACTACAGCATTGGAGGCTGAACCTACACTTGCGGCAGTAGAAGCTGGAAAAGCCAAAGTTTCTGACCACCTCACATACTTTGAGGGTCATCTTACGGCAGTATGCAGGACCACGCCACCTGGAATCCCACGTCTCTCTATTTCTTGCTTTGCGACGCTCTACCAATCCAATCTCCAATCTCATGGCCATCACTTCGTAATTCACCAGCATAAACACCCCATTGCAGGTGTGCATTATGACTTACGACTCCAATTCTCCAAGACCAGTTCTATGTCTTTCGCTATACCGAAGGGCCTATCCGGTGACCCCAACTCGAAGAGCATAGGCCGATTGGCGATTGAGACACAGGTGCACAACTATTGGAATCACTTGATTGAGAGTGCGAGTACCAAGACCGGGAGCTTGTTGATATGGGATACGGGGACATATAGCGTATTGCCTAGGACAAAAAAGAAGAGTAGAACGCCAAGTCCGCAGACTACAGACGATGAGGTCACAGAGACAGATTCAGACACCGATGAGATACGGAAAGTCCAAGTGAGTAGAGAGGGTGAGGAAAATGAGAATGAGAAACTCATCTCAGCATTCCAAACACGCTACATTCGACTGCGGCTACACTGTTATACTTCGATTGCCTTCGAACGAGATTACCAAACGGCCTACAGCGAGACGGAAAAGTCGACAAAAGACGTCTCAACGTAGCTCCAGTGTCCCACCAACAATATCTTCGGATGATGACAGTGAATTATCAGAGCAATCGGACCAGATCCAGAAAGCAGCCCAAGATGTCGATACTGATACCGAAGAAGACACTCAAACGCGCGCTAACAACGCATATCCTGGCTCTACAAACGACATCGGGTCGATACATCAGCGTCATTGGTTTCTCCAGCTAGATCGGCAGTAGTGGGTTTGTGTTGGAGAAGTCGGATAATGAGAGGGGCATATGGGTAGGAAGCTTTGAACCATTTCTTGTCCGTGGTCGTGATTACGAGCAAAGTATAGTAACGGGAAGGCTAGCATGTGAAGTCGAAAGCGATAAAGGTGTTGAGGGGTTCGTTGGAAGAGGAGGATGGACGGAAATTGGCTATTGAAGTTGGTGTTCCTGGGAATTTTATTGGGAAAATTTCCCTCCAACTCCAGAGTAACTATACTGTGTACAATAAGACAAGAACTTGAAAGATACCTGTAAGATGCGATGCATGGAGGAAGTGCTGATCCTATGCTCGATGAGGTTCAAGCCTCCGCACTTCCGAAAGCGGCGCTAGTGTCGACCAGATCCTCTCTTCACCCCACATTCTACAGGATGACCAAGATGACTCGAATTCCAACCGACGCTGTAATATCCTTTGTAGAATCACTCCCGCCATGAATGCGCTCAGCAACATATCTCCCACTTTGGATCCAATCCAGCTTGGCGCAGGACAGGCACCTCCCACACCACCCCACGAGAATGCGCTCGACGATATCTACGGTTCTGCGCCTTCGTCGCCACATCTTTCCGCAAACGCTTTTCAAATAAGAACGCACGAGATTCTTTCAGACCTACCATCCCGTCAACGCGCACTCGACACGGATGCCTACCGAGAAGGCCTTGCGAATAGTAAAGGCCAATACGTACAAGAAGGTTTTGACGAAGGTTACTCTTTAGGTGCAAACCTCGGGCTTCGCGTGGGCTACATACTAGGAATTCTACAAGGATTTGTCGCGGCATGGGCAGGACACGACGCGCAAGTGCACAAGGAAGTCACTCAATTGTTCCAGTCAGCGCACAAGGAGCTAGCGATTGAGGAACTACTAGGTAAACAATGGGTCGACGAGGAAGGTATATGGAAATGGGGAGTTGTGGGGGAGGAGGATGACCCTACGCTGAGAGATGTTTCTGATCAGCACCCTTTGATTAAGAAGTGGATGGGCACAGTTGACGAGCTGGCGAGGAGATGGGGCGTTGATTTGAAGGCTGTAGAGAAGATGCAAGCGCCCGAGGAGGAACAGTCATGAAAGGCTGCCACGGTCTACATGTGTGGACATATGTTCGCGCATGCAACACAGACGTGCCGTATCCAGGATGGTCGAATGCAATCGCAGTGTGCTTATCTAGCTGCAAAGCGAACCTAGACGGCATATTGTCACATCGAGTAGATGGCACTACAGTTGGAATCAATTTGAGATGCGACATTCAAGTTGGTACGCCGAAGAGAAGTGGTTGGAAGGATGCCAGGGTTTTGTGAGTTGGAGAAGTCATGAGCGATAACCGGCTATGGACACAAACCATACGAGAAAGGTTCCGCGAGGGGTGGCAAGCGTGTGTCCAGAACTCAAGTAGAATTTGGTAGCCTAGACGGATACAATTCCCATGGGTGTGCACGGGCCGGTTCGGACAATTGGCTGAAAATGCCGTCATGACTTGTCGATTCGGATGCGGCGAGAGATAAACCCAGCTTACAACGCCCCTCATGTCTTGACTCAATTCACTCGTGCTGATTTCGCCTCACCTTTGACAGCCATGATACATGGCCTGTCTGCTCTTCGAAGAGCACCTAGCCAATATGCGACACCACGACTGCTGACGTCAGGGGTCGTCTCCGCGCGATTACACACACCATTTGTGCGCCGCCTACAAACACAAAAATGGGAGCCCTTACGACCGCCCAATCCTGCTGATCTTCCGAAGCCGCGAAAGCGCAAGATTAAACCTCCTTTTACACGGCGGAAATGGGTGCGCCGCCTCGCTGTCATCTCGGCGCTGCTTGGTGCTGGATGGGCAATTGACCGGCAATTCTATGCCTCGTCCATTACTCGTAGTCTGCGCACATTCAAGACTGGTCTTTTGATCGGAATTGATTACAAGATTAACTTTCGAGCTCACCCGCCGCTTGCGAACAGCATCGAGGAATTGCATGCGAGGAACGCGACAAGGATATTCGACTTGCTGCGATACAATGGCGGACTATACCTGAAGATTGGCCAGGCCATTGCTATGCAGAGCGCAATCCTGCCACCACAGTTCCAGAAGATGTTCCAACAAATGTTTGACGATGCGCCGCAGAATGAGTGGTGGGAGGTCGAGCAGGTCATAAGGGAGGACTTTGGCAAGAGCGTTGAGGATGTCTTTGGAGTGGGCTTCACAAAGGAAGGTCAGGATGGCCGAGGTATCATGGAGAAGACAGCAAGAGCCAGCGCCAGTGTGGCACAAGTGCACTGGGCAAGACTGGCCGACGGGCGAGAAGTCGCCATCAAGATCCAGAAGCGGGAGATTGCGCAACAGGTTGGATGGGATCTCTGGGCCTTCAAAGTCGTATCCTGGGTATACACATGGTGGTTCGAGATCCCAGTATATACTCTGGTCCCGTATGTCTCAGAGCGCTTGATGCTGGAAACGGATTTTCGAAACCGAAGCGGACATGCCTTGGAGATGAAGCAACTTGTTGCTGGAGAGCCGCGGCTCAATGGCAGAGTTTACATACCGGCCGTTTACAGAGAACTCTCGAGCAAGCGTGTCATGACCGCGGAATGGATTGAGGGCGTGCGACTATGGGATAAAGAAGGAATCACGAATAGTTGGCAAGGTGAATGGCGTAGAGGCAGTCCCGGAGCAGGTGGCAACAAGCTCCCACCCATCCCTCGCGATGCACAAGTCGATACACATGCACCTGAGGATGCCACGAAGCACGAGTTCTTCAAGCCGGATCGCAACTCCTGGAGAGGCAAGGACGGCAAAGGGGGTCTTGGTGTATCACTGAAGACCACCATGAATACCATTGTCGACCTCTTCTCAGCACAGATGTTTCTTTGGGGCGCTGTACACTGCGACCCCCACCCAGGAAACATCTTCGTCCGACGTCTCCCCAACGGCCAGCCCGAGGTCGTTCTCATCGACCACGGACTATACATTCGCATGGACCCCAAGTTCCGCCTTCAGTACGCCTTGTTCTGGAAGTCACTCCTAGCCTTTGACAATGCCCAGATCGAGGATATCGTCACTCAATGGGGCGTCAAACACGCCGACATCTTTGCCTCCGCAACCCTCATGCGCCCGTATGAAGGTGGCGACAAGAGCGTTGCGGCAGTACTCAAGTCAGAAATGAAGGGCAAAGACCAAGCTGAACGCGCTTTCGAAATGCAAGCCAAAGGTCGCGATGCTATGAAACTCATTCTCGGCGACGACGCAAAGTTCCCCCGCGAACTCCTCTTCATCGGACGAAATCTCCGGATTGTACAAGGCAACAACCAGTTCCTCGGCTCTCCTGTAAACCGCATCAAGATTACTGGCTTGTGGGCTAGTCGGGCGTTGATTGAGAGCAAGGACCTCAGTGCAGGTCAGCGATGGAAGAACTGGATCCAACACGTGCGATTCCGGTTCGTGCTTGCTCTCAGCGACGCGGTCTTCTTCTGGAGTAAGCTGAAGCAAATCATCGGTGTGGGCGGTGGTATGGAAGATGACATTGAAGCGCACATGCGCGTCATGGCAAAGGACTTTGGTGTCGACCTCCAGCATGGTGTGTTTGAGGGATGAACAGCGAGTTATTTGGTGTATTATAGATTTGATGATTCCCCTCTTAGAAGAAATTCATCTCATAGACGTACTGCTTTCCAACCCGTTGTATTTGGCGAACATTGCTGCACTGCTGACGGCGGACTTGCCATGACGTGCCACGCCAGACATGCCGAGGTAAATCGCCCCACCGACACGACTAATCGTGCCTCCGACTCGCACGCTCGAAAACGCGACGCTTCCTAACCGAGGCTCGCTCGCGTTCAACCCCCCAAACAACGTTGGATTACCCTATTGAAAGGGCCACTTCTACCACTATTCGGACCGTCCATTTCGTGATATCCAGCCAGTTTTTTACATCTTCTTTCGGTTATTGTAACTATAACTTTTGATGTTTTAAAGCTGCTGTGAAAGAGCTAGGAAGACTAAAAGACGACGGATACCTTCATCATGACTTCTTCGGCAGATTACACCGATATCAAGTTTGAGATCAAGGGCAAGATTGGGATTATAACGGTAGGTTGGGCTGTGTGTGCTGTTATGTGTACTCTGCATGATTTCACATGTATGGAAGAAGAGACGAGGATAAGCTTCGTTCATTCATTCATTCATTCACCCACGAACTGGACATGAATCTAAACCAAGACATCCGCTTTCTCTACACTCCTCCCACCCACATATCCATCCCCAAACCAGTCCAAACACTAACAACCAACCCCCCGCCCCATAGTTCAACCGCCCCAAGTCCCTCAACTCGTTCGGCGGCAACCTCGTCGCAGACATCGTCGCTGCGCTGCGTGTACTAGACTCGCACCCGGACACCATCTTCACCGTCCTAACAGGCGCAGGGCGCTTCTTCTCCGCCGGCGCAGATGTGACGAGTGTGGCTAAGCGGACGGGCACGTTTAAGAATGAGGCGGAGAAGAAGATGAGCATGTTGGCTGGGTTTACTGCGAGTACGTATTTAACCCCGTTTTTCAATCTTGTTGGTTTGGTCTGGTCCCGTTTGTGCATTGGTATATAGCGACATCTGCCTGGCGGTATTCGATTCCTACATATCCAACCCCAACCTCACAGCGACTCCAACAAAGCAAAACTATAGCGAACCTCAACTAACCACACCCACCCCAGCCACCGAACTCCTCCGCTCAATGATCGACCACCGCAAAGTCCTCATCCTCGCCCTCAACGGCCCCGCCGTCGGCGGCGGCGCAGCCTGGTTCCCGGGCGTCGCCGACATCGTCCTCGCCTCCTCAACCGCATGGCTGCAATGCCCCTTCAGCGCGCTGGGCCTCGTCCCCGAAAACGGGTCCGCCCTATCCTTCGCCCAGCACATTGGCATCCACCGCGCAAACGACTTTCTCATGTTCGGCCGCAAACTACAGGCGCAGGAGCTGCTGGACGCGGGGTTGTATAATTACGTGTGGGACGTCAGTGGTGATGCGTTTCAGGACAAGGTAGTGGCGTTTTTGCAGGACATGCTGGATGTGAATGATGGGAAGAGTATGATTGAGATGAAGAGGTTGCAGAATGCGCCCGTGAGGGATGCGAGGATGGTGGCGGTTGTGAATGCCGTGGATGCGCTCGCGGAACGGTTTGTAGAGGGTGCGCCTGATGAGCGGTTTGCGCTTAAGATTAAAGAGTTGGAGGAGAAGAGGAAGGCTAAGCTTTGAAATTTGCTGGTGTAAGTAGTAGGCCTGGCTATGGGATATATATAAATGTTATACATCGAATAGACGTACACTTTGTAAAGGAGAAAGAAAGTGACAAAGGAGGGTAGACAAGTTCTGTCCTGGATATGTGAACAAAAAAAGTCCTGAATTGTGTCGCATGCATGCAGCGCTATTTGATTGTGAAGAAAACCACCATCCATCCATCCACCAAACCATCTGCGGCAATATGTCTCTCTCAAAATTCACATACTGCCCCCCACCCTTCCTTCCAAGCTATTCGTATACCACGCGCAGCGTGTGAAAAAGGTGAGTTGCTTGCACCATCCCAGGGCGCTTTTCTTTGCTTACTATCAACCATGTCGGGACGGGCATGAAAATCTAAACGACTTAAAAAAACAAGATAAAGCAATAACAAAAGGGTATGCGCATTCTTTCCACAAAAAAAATCAACTTTGAAAAACACAGGAGCTCGAGATGCAGACTGATGTAGGAAAAAAACAGTATGGGAGGGGATCCAGGTGTAAAACATGACCCAAAGATGTATGTCTGACGTAGGAAGACCATATGATGTTTTTGCTGAGCTGGGAGCATGAGACTGTTGCTGGTTAAGTCTTGTTGTGTCGTAGGTTGGGTTAACACTCAATATGGTCGGTGTCGTCCGAGTTGCCACGTTTAGTATTGGTTGGGTCGGTATGGTCGGCTGTCCTGATTGCCAGCACTGGTTGCTCGACCGTTGGCGGTGGGAACGGAAAGTCCCTTTGATGCAGGTCCATGCGAAGTCACAACTCGTCGTCTGCCCTGCTCCAAGCGAGTCGTCCTCCAACCTTCATACCACTGCTCACGGCTAGCTTCGCGGAGTTCGGAGCGCCAATCGCTGAAAACATATTCCCTAAGCTTGACAAAGTCACAGTGTTCTGGGTTGTAGGGGTCGGCAAAGCCCCAGGGGAATCGGCGGCCAATCACCTCGGGATCGTACGGATCGGGCGAGATGATACTCAGAGGTAAGAACGGAGAGTCAACATCGTCACCTTGTATGGATGCGGAGATGGCGGAAGGCTTGCGGGCGTGACTTCTCTTAGCACTTGGTGGTGATGTAGGAGGGGAGTGGGATTTGGTTGATGAGCCGGATGAACCCATGGAGCGTGCAGCATCAGAAGAAGATCGCTCTAGAATCTTGTTGAGTGCCTTAGCCTCGCCCTCGCCTTCTCCTTCCGACGAGTCGTATTCGTCCTCATCCCGCTCGTCCAGGCGGTCTTCGTCGTCGTCTTCATCGCCCAGGTCCAGGTTCAAGGCCTGGAGTGGATCCAGCTTGGCACGCTTGATGGTGTCCCAGACTGTCTTCTTTAGATAGCGCATGTGCGCATCCGTTATTGTGTCTGCTTTGCTGATAACCGGAATGACCGTGGTCCTTGACTGCAGCTCCCGGAGCACATTGAGATCAAGATTTTCATCCAAGCCTCCGAAGATGGCACTGCCAATGTTGACGAGATTCGACTTCTTACGTGCTTCTGCAATGTTCTGGTCCAAGCGGACGGGATCTAGGATGAGGAAGACGCAGTGGATATGGGTATCCTTGACACCTGGCGCACGTACAACCTTTTGCTCCTCACTAAAGGTTTCTTCAAACTTGGACTCGAGGAAAGCGGTGATTGCAGGCAGCTGGAAGTCGACAATGTTCTTTTCTAGACCCTCAGAGTCCCAAAGAGTGACACCCACCCTCTCGCCATCTACTTCAGTCTCGAGGAACTCGGAGGTGAAGGGTGAATCTTGACCACCTACAGCAGTTGCAGGGGGCGATGGAGTATGGGGTCGCTTGCGCGCAGGAAGTGCGAGCGCAGTGCGAAGGAAGTCGATGAAGCAGGACTTGCCAGCGTTCTTGGTGCCAATGACGAGGATGCTATAATCTGATTAATTGGAGCCTGGACTGTACATTTCAGTTACTTACTTGAAGGGAGTAGGGTCTTTTCTCCTCCTCACGCGGCGTGGGCTGTTTACGGTGTTGATTTGGCTGCTGGCGTAGCTGTAGCGACCGCGATTGGTCATGCTCTCAGTCCTAGGGTAGGGATCATAGTCCATGTAGTTGGAGGGCGGTGGCGAGGAGCCAACTGCGGGCGCACCCACAGCGGGACTCTGCTGGCGTGTCACTTTGGCGGCATCGGTTCCGGGTCGGCTGAAGTTGAGGGCATTGGGCGTGTAGACGCCAGTGTTGTAGGCACCGGCTTTGTTGGATACGATGGCAATCGAGTCCGGACGGTGGTCTTCACCTCCGAAAGTCGCGATCTGGGGAAGGGCCGAGTGCGAGGGCAGGCGGGGAGGCTGCCTAGGTAGCATAGAAGCCTCGCGCTGTTTGCGCAGAGCTTCCTCTTGGGCGAGGGCCTTTTGCTTTCTGCTCATCTTGCTTACTGAGGTACTTCTACTGCTGCTACTGCCGCGAATCTCCGAGGAACTCTTTCCACTGCTTCGGCGCAAGAAGTTGAAGCTGGACCTGCGGGTTCCTCCTTGGTCGGCAGAAGACTGGGATGAGGACTGAGCTGCAGCGGGTGAGAGAGAAGAATCAAGCGCAGCGTTCTTTTGAAGAGAGGGATTAGAGGACCGGGAATCGTCGGTGCTGGCCATGGTGGGCAGACGGGAGCTCTTAATATCCGCCTGTCACACTTTGGGGCGCTTAATCTTAGCAATTGGAAGAAGAAGCAGGTGCGGCAGTCAGCTGTCTTGGTGGGAATTCCTATAGGCGCACGGCTCCACAGTACGGGCAAGCTGGCAGCGATGGGGAAAGAAATTGGAGGGGGTGCAACCGCCTGTGAAGCAAGGTCAGCACCTGCTCAAACGCGTATCATGGCGCGTGCGGGTGAAGGAGTGGGCCAGGGTTTACCCACCTTAATGCCCGACACTACTGCAGGAACGCCAACTACACGGCAATGACCTCCCCAGATTCTGACAGGAGCCGAGTGGCTACAAACAAAAAGCAAAGCAAATGTTTGTGTTTTCAAGATGAAGACGTTGAGGGGAGGTTTTGTTCGTTGTGTGTGTGTGTGTGTGTGTGTGTGTGTGACGCGGCAAGGTAACAGCTCTGGGTGGCTGTCAGCTTGCAATTGGCTGCAGCTTCTCGAGGCTGGCCGTCATACAGGTACGACGGGAATCTGCAACAACTGCAAGGCCGATGGGGAATGGGGCGCCAAGCATGCAAATATGAAACAAGAGGCAACCCGCGACTGCGAAAGAGCGCGGGTAATTTGCGCTGCGACGTATCAACGGCTGCCAAATAAAAGGGACACGACAACCCCGTGCTGTAGCCTCGGGAACCTTTATCAGACAGCGCGCCGTCTGCTTCTGCCATCTCGGTAGTGGCGGATCCAGATCGAGACCCTGTTCACTTTCCAGATCGAGATTACGCCATGGACATGAATAGGGGGTTCCCGCTAGCTTCCACCATACCACCACATACCGCGCCCGGCTTGGAACCTTCGAAGCTTCCAAAGGGCTGAAGAAGCAGCAACCATGTGTTTCCGGTAAGCAGCGCATTAATGCCACTCCACATCCGATACAACGCTCCTGGGAAAAGCCACTATGGAACGTCGCAGAAAAAGAGGATGACTACTTCAACTCCACAATATTGCAATTAGCTTCTGGTCTCGCCGTGGACCTCTGTTTCTATTTTTTTTTTCGGCCATGATCCAGTCGCCCGTGCACAAATGTGCGTCTTCATAACACCAACACCACTTGCACCAACAATACCCTCCCTTTGACAAACAACAGCAAGACCGGGATATGGACGTCTATCGATACACCCCGCACCACCCATTGCTTATTCTCTAGCTCGCCGTTCGTGCCGCCTTCAACGGCTTCGCCCAGTACCTTGGCAACTTTGAGACTTAGCTAGACCCTCTGCAGCACCTTGACCGATGGCGAAGACAGCGCAATCGTCGGGGCTCCTAGTAGTCCGGCATGCGTCCTAGAAGGAAAGAGAAACTTTGCACACTCGACGCGGCTTGTGTATACCCGGATACGACTGCTTGAGACATGTTTGGAACGTGATGCTTGTGTTCCTCTGGATTTCTCATCATCTGCCACGCCTCTAGTGCCTCACGCCTGTATCGTCTTTCTCTCCACGAACGTGGCGTCACAAAAGCCGACTCTTCAACTTTGTAACCAGGATACTATGGGTCCGAATTAGTGTGTGAATATTCCCGATATTCCCGAAACGCTGCCCATTTCCTCAGTCGACTGAACAGCGAGTCCTACTCCCACCAAGGCATGTCACTTACACGCTACATCCAAAAGCAACACGGAGGACATGTCTCGACCCGCTATCCTCCGAGTTGGAGTTCGTGGGTAGTTGGAGAAGACGCTATCCAGACCGACGTCTTCGATGTGTTGCCTCAACCAATCACAGTCTCGGACTTACACTCGTGCATCTTGTCTCGCTCGCTCCGCCCACGACCCTCTTCTCGACGCCCGTAAAATCCGCAATTGACAACCTGCTCTACCCGTAATGGTTGCCGGCATCGCTTTTTGAACAATTGAGCAAGGTATAAAACATGCATCATGTGGGCGTTTACATTCTCTTCGTGCTTGTGTTCATTTGCACTGCTTTCACGTTGTTCCATTTTTGCCCTAGAGAGTTGGATATGGATTTCTCGCGCAGCTATGTTTCGTTGTTCTTTGCAACAGTAGCTACCGCTGTAGCTGTTCAAAATGACGTCAAAGTCGATTTGAGCTGGCATGCACCGAAGAAGAGTTGGATAAACGACCTAGACCAAGTCTTGAACAGCACCGGAACAAACGGTTTTAGGTTTAACAGCTCGCAATTACCTGCTGGGGTGAAATATGGGACGTACAATTGGTGTAACATGCCGCATGTGAGGAAGGAGGAATATGTAAAAGCTGATGAGGAGTTTGAGCTGGTGTATGTGGAAGTGTAAGTATCCAATATTCATCAGCATGAATCCCGCCTCACAAGCCAATAGTATACACCGCCACCATAAACGAACACCATATGCCTCCAATACATTTCCAAAAGAGTCATACAGCTGGGAATGCTCCAACCAAGGCCTCTTCTACTACGGAGAGCCTCTCCACCACAACAGCAACACCTCAGCCTCCACCTACTGGAACGTCTACACCAACCCCGTCAACCCCTTCGCCCGCCCCGGTTTCAACGGTAGCTGTCAATTCCCGCAAATCACCAGCCAAGGCCTCGACGACTCCTGGCAACACGGCGCCGACCTCTACGCCGTCTACCACGACCTCCTCCACTTCCTCCCTTCCTCCCTGAACAACAAAATAACCTACCGCGTTACCAACAACGTCATCACCAGCCAAGTCGCAGGCATGCTAATCCAAGCCATGTACGCCCCGTCTTCAAACGTACCCCTGCACATCCAGCCCACGGGCACAGACTCCCTAGAGCCATCCTACCCCTGCCCAGCCGCAACATCCCTCTCCTCCACCTACGGCATCGGCAGCACAGCCACGGACTGGACCGCCCACCTCGCCGCTACTAAACCCCTCTTCGCCGCCCTCGACGCCGTCAGCGGTGTCCCTGCGAATTCCTCAGATTGGCACACTTCCTTCGACCACTACTATGATAACCTCTCTGCTCGCCAGTGTCACGCTAAACCCCTTCCTTGTCATATTTCTAATAAGACGTTGTGTGTTTCTCAGCGACAGGCTGATGCTGTTTATCGCCTTGGTCAGTACGAGTATAGTTTTGTATACCGTGATTCGCCGCTGTCGCTGCGTGCGGCCGTGGCGGCTTATGGCGTTTTCACGGCGGAACTCGCGGATAACATTCGTGCTGCTGTCGCGGGTAAATCACGGGTCTTGTACCGCCATAATGTCGCTCATGATGGTTCTCTCGCCCGGTTGTTGAGTATACTGCAAATCGAGCAGATGGTTTGGGTGGGCATGGGGTCGGAAGTTGTGTTTGAGATTTATAAAAAGAGTGTTGATGTTGGCTGTAAATATTTCATTCGGATATTGTGGGGTGGACAGGTGCTGAGGAGTTCAAATCCTAGTTTGGGGGTCAAGGGTGGGGCGGTGGATATGCTGGAGTTGGATATTTTTCTGGCCTATGTG